TGCACATCCTTCAACTAATTGTCCTTTCTCGGGGCCCTGCATGTTCAGCTTCATTATAGGTTTCCATAGTCTGGGTAGCTTGCTTCTCACGCCCTTGCTACCGCCCATTGCTTCAATGGTTTATTTCAATTTTCAGTTTTACTAACTGCTTCAGGAGTGATGTTTGGAAACTGAACAAAAATCATCAATATTTTACTTGACTTATTTTGCATTGCTTACAATGACTTGTAATTCTTAGATATACATTGGGGATAGAAGAGGAAGTGGTAGAAAGTGAGAGAGGAGTACATGGCTTAGGAGAGAAGCTTATATGAACAGTTGAACATCATTTGCCAATTGTGAGGCCTTGGGCAAGGTACATAACCTATCTGTGCCTTAATTTCCTCATCTGTAAAATAGGAATATTATTATTGTCATATTATGATTACTGTCAATTTACTAGCATTCTTATAAGTTAATATATGTAAGATGTAATTTTAAAATGTAATGTAAAAAAGCATTTCTAAAATGGAATAATTTTAGGAGAAATAGTGATTTTGTTTGACTTGTTTTACTAAAAATTATTTGTGCAAGTTGGTTATGTAGCCATGGCATCAACTGGGTTTCTATAGTTACAAAAAATAATTACTCTTCTACATCTTTGCAACAAAGAAGTGCTCTGGTCAGTGTGACTTGGTTGGAGCATTGTCCTATGAACCAAAGGGTTGCGAGTTCGATTCCAGATCAGGGTACATACCCAGGTTGCAGGTTGCAGGTTGCAGGTACAAACAGCCAATTGATGTTTCTTTCTCACATCAATGTATGTCTCTCTCTTTTTCCCTTCCTCTCTCTCTAAAAATCAATTTAAAAATGCTTAGAACAGGGCTTATCATAGATTAGCATTCAAGATATGGTATCTTTTTTAAGAAGTTGAAGAAAATGACGAATTAGGTTGGAATTAATCTTTACATCCGTTAACTAAATTGAACATCAAGAGTTTGTAAGGGAAAAAAAAGAGTTTGTAAGGGGTTTTTCTGAATCACCCAAAGACTGTAGTTGAAATAAATTGTCAATGAGGTTGTGTAGCTCTGCCTAGCATGTGGCCATGGACAGGGCATAACATCTTTTGGCCTCTCAGTATCCTCGTGAAAATAGGCTGGTATATCCAGGAACTTCAGTAGGAGAAATCAGAGGACAGAGTAGAGAACTATTATGACATGTGCTTGGTATTTATTAGAAAATTTCAAGCCCTGGCCAGGTGGCTCAGTCAGTTGGATCATCACCCCTTTGTGGACTTGATTCCTGGTCAGGGCACATACCAAGGTTGCAGGTTCAATCCCCAGTTGTATGGGAGTCTCTCTCTCTCTCTCTCTCTCTCTCTCTCTTTCTCCCTCTTTACCTTCTTCTCTTTCTAAAATAAATGGAAACATATCCTTGGGCAAGGAGTAAAAACACTTTCAAAAATAGCAGAAAAAAAGAAAATGTCAAAAAATCTAAGAAGTTTAGCTGGGCATGCAACACAGTGCCAAATCATCTAACTTTCCTCCACTGGCAACGAGAGAATTTTAGGAGGCATAGTGATTTGTTTGACTTGGTTTACTAAAAATTATTTATGCAAGTTGGTTATGTAGCCATGCCATCAGCTGGGTTTCTATGGTTACAAAAACAATTACTCTTCTATAATCTTTGCAACAGAGAAGTGTTTGATTATGTTCTTAAAGTTGTTTTGTAGTTCAAGGAATTTTATTTCAACCTAAAGAGCAAAACTGAATGTTTAACTCTTTTCCTGAACTGTTCCTAATTTAAAAGAATAAGAGGAGAAAGTTAGATTATGGAGATGTCAACTGCATGCATTATGTTTTGCATTTAGAATTACGCATCCAGGCAGGTCACTCTGCAGGGCCCACACACTGGCCCCAGCATCCGCTTATGTGTTCCAGGTTGTCCATTTTCCATTGCCGGTGACTATTACTTCCTCTATTACCCTGTCTTCTCCTCTCTCAGCAGACCGATGGCAGAAAAAAATAGAGTCCCTAACCTTTTATTTATTTAAATTTTCTCCTTATCTTATTTACATAGATAAAAGGGAAAAACACAAAGACCTCAATAAGAAAATTGTGCAGGATGGGAAGAGAGAAGAAATATCAATGGTAAATAACTAATAGTAATGGTTTTGGTCAGAAGGTTCAGTCTCATTAGTTATCAACAAAATGTAGATTGAAATGACAGTAAGATGATCCTTCTTTTTTGCCTGTAAAATCAGCAAGACATTTTTTTAATGTATGTTTTTTTTTCCAGCAAGGATTTTTAAAAGTAATAATATGCAGCACTGGTAAAAGTAATAACACTCATCTCCACACAGGATGAACTTACTCCTTCATGGGAAGACGGGAGGATCAACTTCAGTTGATGTGAAAATTAGCGCCTTCAAAACACGCATGCTCTTTGACTCAGTAATTCCACTCGGAGTAAGTGCTATACAGGTAAAACTCTTACAATAGGAGAATGAATGCAAGTATTTCTTTTTAATTAGTGTTAAAAAATGTTAAAAAATTAAAAAAGATGTTTTTATTAATTTTATAGAGAGAGACAGGGAGAAAGAGAAAGACATTGATCAGCTGCCTCCTGCACTCCCCCTTCTGGGGATTGAGCCTGCAAACCAGACATGTGCCCTGATTGGGAATCCAACCGGTGACCACTTGGGTGCATGGGATGACACTCAACCAACTGAGCCACACTGGGCAAAATTTATTTTAAATACTTGACTATAAGCTAAGCACAAATCTGATATCTTTGTCATTTAATCCTCATCAGAACTCTATGAGGCAATACTATTACTCCCTGATTACAAAGGGGAAACTGAGGTACAGAGAAGCTAAGTAACTTACTGGCTCAAGGGCACACAGGCAGGAAGTGGCTCCAACTCCAGAGCCAGACCCTGAACCACTCTGCTCCACTGCCTAGCTCTGAAAAAGAGTTAAGGCAGCAGGCAGAGCAATATAAAACAAGATAATTTCAAGAATTCTGCAGAAGAAAAAAAAGAGCAATGGTGGGACATAAAACAGAGCTAGGAATGATATAGGTGACACGATGGGTCATTATCATCCCTGCTTCTCTGCCAGGTTGGATTCATGGTGGTTGCAAGTTTCAAGTATTCTCGCTCTCTTTCTTCCCTCCTCCATCTCTCTCATTCACTTATCAGAGAATATTATGTTGCAATAGTCAGCATCTGGAAGGAAGCTTTCTTGTTTGTTTCAGAGGCACTGAAATCACATCCAGAGAGCCTATTAGTCAAGGTTTTGTAAGGGCATGATCATTTGCTTCTCTATCCACACCATCAGCAACTGTTTTTTTGTTTTTTTAATTTTTATCATGTATACAATGATGGGAGAGTTGAGTCCTGCTTTCTAAGTCAGAAAGCACGTGTGTGTGTTTGTGGTGTGTGTGTGTGTGTGTGTTGAACAACTCCTGGCCACTGAGAAAAAGCTGACCTATTGATCCCACAATCTCCTGGTTACACAGAAATTGCTTTTTCCCCACTTCTATCTCTTCTTTCCTCTCGGTAGTTCTCCATCCTCGACTCTTCTTTATTCTTTATTCTCTTTCACTCTGACTTTGCCTTCACCTCCTTTTGTGACTCTTCATCATTGCTTTTCATATTGATTAAAGTGGCCATTTTAAGAGCATATAATATTTAGTTATGGAAGCCAACATAATGATCCAGTTCAGGGCTTTGGAGTTATGGTTCAATTTTTGGCTTCATCACTTAAGGGGTGCCTGACTTTGGGAAAACATTCCACTTTTTCTTTCACCATCTGTAAATTGGGGATAATGGTTCCTACCTCAAAGGGTTGCTGTTAGGATGGGAGAGAATGCATGTGCCATACTCAAAAGATTGCTTGGCACGTGGTCTCAATAATGATTAGCTCGTATTATTTGAAAATGTTTATTGTAGGGGGTTGTTGATACTGTACTTAGGGAACTTCATGCAACTTTCCTTTATTGAAGAATCCAGAGAACTCCTGGGGCAAGAAATAATGGCACTTAGAGGCTTCCTGGGTGCAGGCACCATAGGGACTTTTTTCTTTTCTCCTTTTCTGAGTAGAAAGTGATCTTGTGATAAGCTGGGCACAGAAAGCTTGGACAAGGGCAAGCATCTTCTGCAAAGACTTTCCTCGAGTGGAAATTACCTTGTTGAGTGTGAGGTGAACCAGGCCAAGGGAGGGAGGAAGAAGGAAGAAGTAAGTGGGGAGAAAGCAGGCGCCTTGGGGCACGTCTGATAGGCGTGGGATGCACAGCGTTTGGCTGGCGAAGAACCCCGAGAGCCCAGGCTGGAAAGATGCGCGAGCCGGGAGCGCATCAGTTACTGTTTGCTTTTCTTTGGGGAAGACGCTGAGTCCAGGCAGTTTGCAGAGCTGGGGCTCTGGTGTCAGGGACAGAGCCGGGGCGCCCACGCCACTGTCGGGGGCTTGGATGTCCGCCGGGTAAAAAGCCCTGGAAGATCTCCCGTCCGAGGCGA